GCCACCCAGAGGAAGGTGGTGGCCCCGGCCATCATGGGGAGGGACGTGCTCCTGGGCGTGTGCCGGCCCTGGCTAACAGGGAGTTGGCGCTGGTCCGAGTGTTTTGTCTAGACTGGACAAAGAAAGACGCACGGAGCAGGCGGAGGCTGGCAGGAGCTGAGAGCCGGTGCCACACTCAGAAGGCCCCTGCTGTGTCGTTTATCCCCAAACCCACGGACCTCAGCCCACCCCAATGACTGAGGGGCTGGCGGGTATTGCATGCAGAGGACAAGGACCATGGTGTGGCCCATCTCTCTTGCTCTGTTGCTTTCTGCACCCACTCAGATCCTTACTGGAGGTTCACTCTCCTCCAGCAATCTTACTCTGCATCAAGAATTGGGTAAATTCTCTGAATGTAAATGAAGCTTCATTTTGTTGTTTTGCCTGAAGCTGCCATGTTCCATCACCAGCCCCACAAATATGCCTTGGAAGGTGCTGGAGCTAAGTGCCTCCCTGGATCTCCTGGATTCCGCGGGGTCGTGGGCTCCACCTGAGAGGCAGTTCACCAGCTCTGGAACCACCGATTCATACATGCCTGTCTTCCTCCCGTTCCGAGAAAATGGCCTTGGACCACTTTTAAATTTACTTAGTTCTAAAAGCATCCGTCTCATTGCCTCCTCAAAGGGTGCTTACAACATGGATTGATGGCTTGTTATTATGATTCTTTGTTTAAAGATGGTCTGTTCCGATTTTGTTTCCTATGTACTAGAATATGGGCTTTAAGAAATCATTAAAAGCACGCAGGGTTAGACCTTCAGAAAAGCATGATACGAGTCTGCAGAAAGACGAGGCTGAGTGAGTCTGCTCTCCGTTGGTGGCTCCTTGACTGTGGTAAAACCATCCCTGTTCCCAAGTTGAGCCCTGCACGAGGGGATAAGCCGCTTTCGCCCCCTTCTGCCTTCTGTGCCGGTAAGCAGCTGACCCCAGCCCCGGCCTCCACAGAGAGAGGGGTGCCATCGGACACGTGCAGAAGGCTGCCAGGTCAGCCCCACGCCCTCTCTGTCCAAGCCCAATAAACCCCAGTTCATCACTTCTGCCGGTTCTTATTTCCCTCATCTCTATTCACTTAGACACACTGAATGTCCCCAGCCCCAAGATTTTAGTTCTGACCCTTGGGTCAGGTCTCCTGATGTCACTAAAGTAAACAAACTAGGAAAAAACCACAGCGAAGGAAAGTCGTGAGGTGTTTTGGACTCTTCAAACAGATGGAGAAAACAAGGTCAGAAAGGGGACACCTGTCAGTTTTAGGTCTTTCTCAAGACAGCCCTCAAAGGGAAAATAAACATTGCCATGAAAGGCACTGATGAAACAGAATCCTTTGGAAAATAGCAAATAAAATAAGTCAAACCCTTGGTGCTGGCCCCGTGGCATAGTGGTTGAGTTTGTGCACTCCACTTTGGTAGCTCGGTTTGTGGGTTTGGACCCCAGGTGAGGACCTACACCACTCATCAGCCATGCTATGGCAACAACCCACCTATGAAGTAGAGGAAGATGGGCACAGATGTTAGCTCAGGGCAAATCTCCCCCTGCAAAAAAAAAAAAGTCAAACACTCTGTATGTTCTTTTCAGAGTTATAATCTAAGAATACAGGGTCTAGAATGTTGTACTAACAAGATAAAAGGGCCGGTCTGGAGTGTCCAATGCACTGGTCCCTCTGTCTTGTGGCTGCTCTCTCTCCTACCATCCCTGACTCTACCAGAGGTGCCTTTCCAGTAAAAACTTGGCCTGTTGCTCTCCTTCTTGAAAACTGTGGTATCTCCCTCATTTCCTCATCTGTGGGCCTTCACAGGCTGTTAGTTACCTATCACTGGCAAAAAATTCCCACAAAATTTACTGCTTCAAACAACAAATATTTATGACCTCACAGTTTCTGAGTCAGGCATTCAAGATGCGTTTAGCTGGGTGTGTTTTAGAAGGTAGGTTTTCTTTTTATTCAGGTACCACGAGGCCAATGGATCAGACAAAAGCCAATGAAAAGATCGTTTGTTCTTCACAGTTTCCAAGAGGAGGGGGCACGCCACGCCACCCAGGGCCACACGTGGAAGTGCCAGGAAGTGCCCTCGCCAGACACCGTATGTGCTGGCACCTCGATCTTGGATTTCCAGCCTCCAGAACTGTGAGGGATAAGCTTCTGCTGTTGGTGAGCCCTCTGGTCTCTGGTGTCTGTTATGGCAGCCTGAACTCAGATGTCTGCTGTCTCTAGGAATTAGCTGGCCCCCAGAGCAGCAGCCTCTCCAGTGTCAGTAAGGCCCCAGATGTCAAAACATCAGAAAATAAAAGGCATGATGGGCGCCAGCCCGGTGGCACAGTGGTTAAGTGCGCACATTCCACTTCGGCGACCCGGAATTCACCAGTTCGGATCCCGGGTGCAGACATGGCACCGCTTGGCAAAAGCCATGCTGTGGTAGGCGTCCCACATATAAAGTAGAGGAAGATGGGCATGGATGTTAGCTCAGGGCCAGTCTTCCTCAGCAAAAAGAGGAGGATTGGCAACAGTTAGCTCAGAACTAATCTTCCTCAAGAAAATAAAAAATAAAAAATAAAAGGCATGATGAAGACAGGGTGTTTCTGGCTCGTGGCTCAAGGGAGCTGGAGGACCTGTTTTTAACACCATTCCCACGGCTCTTGGCTGGAGGCCTCAGTTCCTCATCACGACGGCATCTCCATAGGTTTGCTTGAGCATCTTTGCAATATTTGTCTGGCTTCCTCCAGAGAGAATGACCCCAGAGAGGGAGCACGGAGGAACCACAGGGCCTTGTTACCACCTCGTCTCCAAAATCACACACTCTCACGGATTCCTGTTCCTCTGTGCTAGAAAGGAGTCACTGAGCCCAGCCCACCCTCGAGGGGAGGGGAATTAACATCCACCTCTTTAAGGGAGGAATATCAAAGAATTGTGGACCTATTTTAAAACCACCACGCAGGCTGAGCCAGGCTCTAGTCCATCCAGAGACCCCCACCCCACACCCCCTCAGCCCTACCTATTGCTTTCTAACCAAGGGAGGTTTTCTCAAATCCACGTGCCCAGGAGCCACCTATTAGAACATCCAGGGCAGGGCCCTGCAGGTGCACTGGGGAAGCCCAGGGGATGCCGCCTGTCCCCCTTGTCTGGGAACACTGTGCTCATCCTCATCTGGCTCCAAGGCCACCTGCTACATGAACCCTTCCCAGAGCCCTTGTCTGGCATGAGGAATTGCTCCCTTATCAGTGCCCCCAAATCACTCCAGACATCCCTCCAATGCTGCCCCGAGCAAGTGATGATGAAATCAGAGTCTGTGCACTTTCCTTCTAACTAGATCAGGACTCCTCAGAGGGAGACACGGGACCATACTTATTCTGGCATCTCCATCACCTGTGCCCTGGGGATGGTCAGACCCTGCTGGGTAAATGAAAGATGAAAAGACTGAGGAAAGGTCGGCCTCTGAGAGCATCTCTGGAGATGTTTGGGGAGAGGGCAGGATTCCCTCCTCTGCGTTGGTGTATCCTCCCAACGCCCAGCTTCCTACAGTTAAAGGTCTTGCATGAACTCTCCTAGCGCTGGTTTGTTCTGATTCAGCACATTTGTTCCCTCTCCTTCATACGTGCCAGCCTCGTTTCTCTTGGCACCTTGGCCCTTTGTGGTCTTCCAGCTCCATTCACCCTGCAGGCCCGCGTGGGCTAACCTTCTCTCTGCACCTTCCTGAGGGTCTCCTGTCTGTGCTCCGGTCCTGGGTCTCTGAAGCCCTATGGCACGGCACAGCTTTCCTTGGATGATTTGCCCTTCCATAGATGTTGTCTTCTATTGCTGTCTTCTTGCTTTATGTTCTTTGTCTGGCCTCTCGACAGTCCCGTAAATTCCTGAGAGCAGGACTGTATCTTCTCCCCATTCTGTCTTTCAACCTGGGGTTGGTTCTATACTTGACCTTCAGCAATGGTGTGAGAATTGATGGAGGTGTTTAGCGGGTTCACCTCAGAGGAGCACATTCTACCTGCTGTGTAAAGAGGTGATTCCGACTTCATAAAGTTCTTGCCATTTTTCAAGAAGAATGTACCGAGACAATGTCCTAAGGGTGGCATCCAGGTTGTGGGAGAAAATAGCCTCACTACATTCTGAAATGGCTGGACTGAGTCCGGAGGACTGAGGTGAGTGCCGGGTGCCGTGAGGGAAGGCGAAAGAACCTGGGGTGCTTCAGGCAAAGGCTCTCATTTCTCTCTAAAAAAGGACTACGTATTTTATGTCCGTTATCCCACTCAATGGCATCACACAGGAGGTGAGCAGGCAGGACTCTTTCCTTGTTAACAAACAAATCAAGGCCCTGACAGAGTGAGTGACTCACTGGGGCCATAGCTGGACTGCCTGCTTTCCTTCACCCCACGGTCGCTTCTGTTTGGCCTGAAGAAAAGCAGTCAAAAAGAAGAGCTTCAAGCTCTCTACAAACACATGAAGGACGTCACAGTAAATAATGAGGAGTAGATGCGTCTGTGTTCCGTAGGACATACCAGTACCAAAAAGGTTTAGGAAGGGCTGAGGCTGACTCAGAGAAGAAAAACATTCTAAAAACTTGATTTGACTAATGATGAGCTAGGCTGCCTTCTCCCTAAGGGAGACGCGTGAAATTATTAGCATTTAAATCGATGCTACCTACAGGTCATCCGTCAGAAGACCTGCAGACGCAACTGAACAAAAGAAACGGGATCTGATCAAAATTTTCAAATGTGTGCAAATGACAGAGTTCCTGGAATTCTAGTAGGTTTCACCCTTTACAGAATACCATGAAGGGGGCTGGCCCCGTGGCCGAGTGGTTAAGTTCACACGCTCCGCTTTCACAGCTCAAGGTTTCACCCGTTCCGATCCTGGGCACAGACCTAGCACCACTCATCAAGCCATGCTGAGGCAGCGTCCCACATAGCACAACCAGAGGGACCTACAAGTAAAATGTACAACTATGCGCGAGGGGGCTTTGGGGAGGAGGAGGGGAAGAAGAAGAAGATTGGCAGCAGGTGTTAGCTCAGGTGCCAATCTGAAAAAAAAAAAAAGAATACAGTGAAGAGTCGAAATATTTCCTTCTTGTATATGACATTTAAATTGTACTGGCATAAAATATGCCTACACATATTTGCTAGCATATACCTATACATCGCATGAACACACGTATGTTTATGAGAAGTGACTGATTTCTATAAATGTTTGTTTTCCATTCAGCTTTTTATTTTGTGGTACGTCAGTAGAAAAGAAGGAGCAGGCACCAAAGATTTAAGAAAAAATGGGGAAACTTTCTAATGCAGAACCTTTACCCATTTCATTTTTTTCTTTATGTATTTTTTTTTTTTTTTTGGCTGCCGTCTGATGATTTACTGGCTGCAAATGCGGGTTCCACGTGGGCACAGCTCAGGAGCTCTGGGGCAGCTGTATCCTTAGGTCTCACCCATCACTTATATTCTTTAATTTTATGGTTTGATCAACAATTATTCCTTTCTAACTTAGAAAATAGTGATCCACAAATACGTCCAAATTTTGTCCTACCCATGGGCAAAATAGCTTCCTGCAAAGCTGAGAACTACTCCTTTCTTCAGTCGTTACGGGCAAATGATGGACATAGGTAGACATCCACTGACAGGACTGAGGACGAATCCCCAGTAATGTAACGGGAGGAAAGGAAGAGTTACTTCAGTAGAAACATAAATTAAAGCTCTCACATTCCCAGAGTGTCCAGAAGATGCTACTTCAGCATTTATCTAAATCCTAGCTGTAATGTCAGTTTGGCACGTTTTAGAGTTCAGACAAATGGTCAGGATTCTGTCATTTTTCAAAAGGAGGCCCTGTTATGAGTGGTTCCGTCGCTGCTGTTCCTGATTTTAAATGATCACATGTTACTTAATTATAAATTTACTTGTGGGGAACTTCTTAAACTCTACAGTGACTAGTGATTCAAAGTTGCATTAACAACATTTTTAGCATATAATTTTCCAATCTGGACATGAACAATTCACTTCTTTACAGTTTTTATAGGGCTGCCTCCACTCTCCCCTTTGCTAGAATGATTGAATATTTCATCACTCTCCCACAAAAACAAACAAGTAATTATCGCTGAAATAGTTTTCCTCTAGACTACACAGATGTGTGATAGGTGGGCTCTGTTAAACTTTTTGAGAACTGCTACTCTAGGGTTACACACAACTCCTCCTACCCCCAGTTTGTGTAGATCCTGGTATGTTTTTATTCTCCATTATTCTGAAATCTTAGGCCAAATTTTATATTGTTGATTCTCATTATTCCAGCCCCAGCAGAGTAAAATACAATTTGAATGTCACAATGTCACAGCATGGCCCAAAAATAGTAGCGACAGGCACGGACTGCAGGGACCATATCATTTTGTCTGGTCCATTGGGAAGAGCCCACTGCAGAAATGTTAATGGAATAACTCAGAGGCTTACCCACTCACGGCTGACTTCTCCTTGACCCCTTGCTCATCGCAGCCTTCCTTCCTCTTTGGCTCATTCCCACGAATCCTTGCAAATGTCTGTAACAGAAAATTCCCACTGACATTTGTGCCCCTAAATATCTGGGCTTGAAGCAGTTCTAAATATTAATAAATGAACAAACAAATGAATATATGAGTGAAATACTTTATATTATGATAGGGTCTTGAAGAATGAAAGGATTCTAGGAAAATGAGGGTAAAGTTATAGAATAATGAATGATGGTTTTACCATTTTGGAAGTGACTGACTGCCTTCCAAATTCATATCACACACCTGTATGTAAGGCTTGCCCAAGCCCAGGCCACTCACCTCTGAGTCCTAGCAACTCTAATTGATGCTATATGGCCAATACTACATGCTAATACTAATTTGGAACACTAGTATGTATTGCTGTGTTCTCTTGCTTTGCCAAAAGTAATGAGCTAGGTCCATGGGCTCTAAGATGGGCAGAATAATGGTCCCCTAAAGATGCCCATGTCCTAATCCCAGGAACCAATGAATATGCTCCGTTACCTGCCAAAAGGCAATTAAGATTGAGAAATAGAATTAAGGTTGCTAATCAGCACACCTTAAAATAGAGAGATTATCCTGGGCTATCTGGATGGGTCCAATGTAATCATCAGAGTCTTTAAAAGTGGAAGGGGGAGACAGAAGAGAGAGTCAGAGGGAGATGTGACTACAGAGTTAGAGACAGCATGATGATATGTAAAAAGAACGCCAACCGCCATTGCTGACTTGGAAGATGGAGGAAGGGAACGTGGCGGCCTCTAGAGGCTGGAAAAGGCAAGGACACAAATTCTCCACTGGAGCCTCCAGAAAGGAGCGCAGCCCTGTCCATACCTTGATTTCAGCCCAGCAAGACCCGTGTGGGCCTTCTGACCTGCAGGGCAGTCACATGATAAACTTGTGGCGATTGAAGCCACTACGTTTGCAGTGATCTGTTGCAGCAGCGTTAGAAACCTAACAAAGCATTATCCATGGGAAATACATTTCTGAGATCCTTGGTAGACAAAGGGCTTGCAAGACAGGGAGGAAAACACAGGGAAGATGGAACACAATTTTACCAGGATTACCTCAAGTTTTTTAAATAAAGAAAAGTTTGCATGCACTGAATAATTCATTTTCGCTCGACTTCCCTATTCCCCCCCGGCTAGCAAAGGTCATCTCTCTGTGTGTGTTCATGCATTCACTCAATTAGTAAACACTTATTTAGAGTATTCTATGCCCATTAATGTAGTGTCAAAGGAAATTTTAAAGAAACAAAAGATGAGACATCCTTCCTAAAGAAGTTCATGGTACAGTGGAGGAGGAAAGTGTGATGTGTATGGTGAGTATTGCAGCATGACACGGTTGGTGAGTATTGCAGTGTGGCATGGTTGGTTAGTATTGCAATGTGGCATTTTGGTGAGTATTGCAGCATGACATGGTTGGTGAGTGTTGCAGCATGATGCAGTTGGTGAGTATTGCAGTGTGACGTGGTTGGTGAGTATTGTGTGGCATGGTTGGTTCTTTCACAGAGATGAGCAAAGTTGCTGTGAGAATTGCGCTGAAAGAGAACCTGATGACTTAAAAGAAAGCTGGGTGGGGAAGGGAGGCACTACAGAGGCAGACGATGCTTGAGTTCCGACTCGCGGATGAGTGACAGTCCCCAGCTGGGTAGACAGGGCGTAAGTAGAAAGGCAGAGGCACCACGGGTCCACCTCGGTGTTCTCAGGGCGCAGCAGCACTGGTGTGTTTGGGGCTCAGGTGTGAGCGGCCATTCTGACACTTTCCTGCCCTTAGAGGCAGGTTCCTATAAAAGATCCAACACAGTTTCCAGGTGAGCTTTAAATATCCCCAGAGATGCAATTTCTAAGCATCTCTGAGAGTCAATTTCATGTTCTAACAGGCTTTTCCTCTATTCATCTATCACCCCAGGATATTCTCCATTATTTCCTAAAAAGAACTTCAGGGGAAGAATGGCACAGAATTTCCCTTTTGGGGGCTTGAGAAGAGAGAACAGAGAAGATGGTTGGAAAGAGGGAAAAATTAAGGAGAAGGAAACACTTAAAGAGAGAACATGCTTTTGGTGTGTGAACATAAATAAAAGGCCATTTTTGTGAGAATTACTCTCATTTTTGGAAATATTGTGCTGAAGTGAACTCCACCGTGGGCCATGGCGAGAAAATTTCAGAATGCAGGGAAAATCACGCTGGTGCAGCCTGCTGCCACCTCAACCTATGTTTGTGAAAGAATCGGGCTTACACAAAAGGAAAGCAGCCACCAAAGGACCGTGGGCTGTCCTGGTGAGTGGGAGAGAGACAGAGAAGGGGGTCCTTCCAGATCATCCCCCAGGACGAGCAGGAGGGGTGAGCGAGCACCACAGTCCTTCTGAACACTTGTGGTTGCTTCTCCCCGGGCAGCCTCCTTGGTCCCCCTTGCCCGAACATCAAGGAAAAACCAGGCCTCCCCAAGAGTAAGACTTGAAAAAATAGAACAATTCATCACACCCCAGGGTCACCCCTTCCTCCACCATTGAAATTCTGTTTTTCCCCAAGGTTATGACACAGTCAGCTTTGCTCTCATCACAACATCGTATTAAGGGGGAAATGTAGCCCCAGCGAACCCAGGCATCGCAAGGCTCTGTGTAAGGAGCCACCTCCACCACCAACTGCGCAACCTGGAGAAGCTGGAGCTGCTGTCCAACGTCTTGAAAAGGGGTGGACAAAGAAGGACATCTCGTAGGTTGATGGCGGGCTCCAACGAGAGCAGTGGCTGCCTCTGCCAAGCCCCTCCTAGGTGCCGGCTGCTGGCCACTGATCGCCTCTATTCCTGGATAAGGCAGCTAATTGGAAAGTGGTCAAGTACATAATTTGTTTAAAAATCTAAGTAGATTAAAGGTAGTAGTGTGTTCACAAATGCTTAACAACTGGCTCTTGGAGGAAAAAAAAAAGTCCTGATTATGCAGCATTTGCCGGTTTCTGTGGTATAACTACCCTGACACTGCCGATTTGAAGCTCTGGTGAGCTGGTGTGAGCCGACTCCAGCACACCACTGCTTAAGAACTTAAAGGTAACTAATGAAACCATAAAAAGTCCAGAAGAGCACACGGAGGAGCGCCTCTATGGTCTCGGCACGGAGGAGAACTTTCAAACCAACGATGCAACACACAGAACCCAGAAAAAAAAGACCAAAAATTTGAATTGACATTAAAAATTCTACATACCAAAGTTAAATAAAAACTTTAAAACCTGTAAGAAAAATTGAAGACAAAGTTAAACTAATAAAAATATTTACAATTTTGGGGCTGGCCCCGTGGCCGAGTGGTTAAGTTCGTGCGCTCTGCTGCAGGCGGTCCAGTGTTTCGTTGGTTCAAATCCTGGGTGCAGACATGGCACTGCTCATCAAACCACGCTGAGGCAGCGTCCCACATGCCACAACTAGAAGGACCCACAACGAAGAATATACAACTATGTACCGGGGGGCTTTGGGGAGAAAAAGGAAAAAAATAAAATCTTTAAAAAAAAAGAAAAAAAAATTTACAATTTTTATCACAGAACTTCTCAAATCACTTTAATAAAATAAAAACTAACCACCTAATAGAAAAGTATGCAAATGACATGAACAATAATTTTAAGAAAAGGAAAAACCAAAGGATCTTTTAATATATTAAAAGATGCTCAACCTCACTCATAATAAGAGAAACGAAAATAGATCTTTTCAATCTTCAGACATCTCTACACAGCTCCATAGAATGTTCTGTTGTGACGGCTAAGCCATCCATGTGTGCTGCCAGTGGGCATGTGAACCGGTACCCTCAGAGAGGGAGAATTTACAGCATCTGCCAAGTTTCAAAATGCTCATCCTCTAGCTCAGCAATCAATTTCTGGAAGTTACCTTACAGATATACTTGCGGGGTTATTTATGGCAGGCTTTTTGGTAACAGTAAAATGTTAGAAAACCCAAAAGTCCACAACGAGAGGACTATTTAAGTAGAGTATTCTGTATAACGGAATGTGTGCAGCTGTAAGAAAAGAAAGGAAGGAGTTCTCTGTGTAGTGACATGTAAAGATCTCCAAAGTAGATCAAATTAATAATAAAACCAGCAATGTGCAGAAGTGTGCATATTATGCAAACTTTTGTCTCAAAAAAACAAGAGGGAAAAATTAAAATATATTTTTCTTATTTTCTTTTGTGTGCGTTAATAAACCTGGGGAGCACATAAGCAATTAACGATAATGTCGTCCTGGAGTGGTGGCAAGGAGGCCTGAGGAGAGGTGGGTAAATTGAGTAAGAGAGAGATTTCTCAATGTTTCTCTTTTTATACATTTTTAAACCATCTGAATATGTTACCGATACAAAAATTTATATTAAAAAGGTTTTTTTTTTAATAACAGGTTAAATAAGTTAGTCTAGAGCTCAACCAGTAAGTTCCAGACCTGGTGTGGACCCCCCTGTACCATGCAGCCTCCCTAAAGACAAGAGGTTTGGTGGCTAAGGGCTAGCTTGTCCTGTTCCTTCCCTCACGATGATAAAATAGTAAAGGGAGTGCTCATGGCGAGAGTGGGGTCTGCAGAGCACGGGTTATATCTGGGCACTGGCCAAAGCAGTGCGGGTCATGTCATTCACTCATCGTTATATTGTATTATAATGCCCATTCCCTAGACAAACCCAGTGAGGTGAAGGAAGGTTGAGAGACGGCCCCAAACTCACACAGTTAGTTAACTCAGAACTGGTGATCAGATCCAACTCTGTGCCACTCAACGCCAAGATCATCCACAGGCCGCCATGATGTCACTGCGCCCACCTTCCCCCAGGGTGTGTGGTTGACCCAAGGGACCCCAATCCATGTGGCCATGGAACCTTCACCATAAGAGTTACTGTGCTTCCCTGACGGGTGATCCCCAGGGAAGTGGGCATCAGGGAGAGGCTGGGGTTTGCAGATCCAGCCCTCACCCAGCTTCTCGGACACATTCTAGTTGGTGTTTAAGGCTGTATTTGTGAATATTTGCAGAAACCCATCCCAGAAAGAGCCGTTCTGTCTGGGATGCTGCTGCCAG